TTAATGGGTCATTCAGAGTCTACCCAGGCAATTTGTTGAGAGTCTGGGCAGTTAATGATCATAACCCTGACCTTCACATTAATCTAGCTGCTTAATGAGCCTCAGGTAATAGCCACTGTTCCCATGAATTTCCATCTTTTGGGGCTTTGCCTCTTCTTTTTTCCCCTCATAAACCAGGTGGAGCCATAAGCCCCTGGCCCCTTTCAACTTTGTCCAACTGTTTTGTTTTTTTTTTAGACAAAGTTTTACTTTGTAGTGCAGGCTGGCCTTGAACTCACTGTGTATTCCAACTGGCCTCAAACTTGTAGTGATCCTCCTGCCTCAGCCTCCCAAGCACTGGCATTTCAGGCCTGCATCAGCATGCATTTGTAGGCATATCTAGGCATTTGCCTTGTGGCAGGCTTTGTTCTCCCAGGGGCTTTTTGTCCCTTCCTTGTTTTTTTGTGTGTTTTTTTTTGGTACCGGCGATTGAACTGTAGTCCTTGGCGCTTGCGCAGCAGGCGGCAAAATCACTGAGCTAAATCCCCGGCCCTCTTCCTGGTTCTTGACTGCCTGTCTCTCTACCTGTTGGTCAGCCACCTGGTTGCTTTCTAGCATAACCCAGATGAAAGCTGAAGGAGAGGAGATACTGATTTTTTTCAGTGTTGCTAGCTAGGTTGGTTAGTAGAGGGCGACAGCTAGGGTTGTCTGCATATAGGTGTCCTCGTGCTAGCTGCTTCTTCAAACCTGTGGCTTCTGTTTTTTGTTTTTTGTTTTTGGTGCCAGGGATCAAACTCAAGACCTTGTGCTTGCAAGGCAAACAGCAGAACCACTGAGCTAAATCCCCATCCCTTTTCTTCTGTTTATCTGCTACTCATTATGTGCTTGCCTCCCATGTAATGGGCTTCAACCATATTGTCTCTTGACCCTATTGCCCCTTGAGGTAGGTACTCATGTTAGCTATTCCACAGATGAGAGGGCCAAGGCTCGTGTTACAGAGTAAGAGTGCCTGCTAGGGAAGAGACAGAGCTGATTGAGTTACCTGGTCTGCAGGAAGAAGCATGGTGCCCAAGCCACCAGACTGCCTGGCATAGCAGGTCTCTTTACCAAGTACAGTACTGTTTTTGCCAAGCCCATGGTATGTGATGAACCCCGCACACTTCTGCGCCCCATTGAGTTGGCCCAGTAGGTGTTACTTAGGCCAGGAGTCGAGATCTATTTTTTGACCCAAGAGGAGGAGCAAGCCAACTCTGTAAATGGAAACTTGAATGCTTGGGAAGCTTTGTCCTGGAGGTTCAGCCCAGCAAGTTGCCTCTGGGAGATGTTGGCTTCTCCCCATTTCCTCCTAGGGACCATTTCCAAAGCGTAGTGCAGTGTGGCTGGTCTCTTGTCTCCCGTGCCGAGCCAGCTGCATAGCCGGGCACAGTCAGTCTAGGCTCAGGGAATAAAGTAACCTCCACACAGGCTGGCCCTGCAGGGTTTGCTCCTGCAGGCTGGTCTCAAGAGGGTTAGGCAGATCTAGATTGAAATGATTAGTGCGGTGGGGCTTCCCCCACTTTTCTTGGGGGATTATGTCACAGTCTACTGAGTGTGCTCCCTCGGTATTTAATCCCACTCTGACATGGATTTTGCTGGCAGCCTGTTAAGTGGCACCGCTTAAACCTGGTTGCTGTTTTGTGGAGACTGCTTTTGTGCAGTTGTGTGAATGGCCCTCAGGATTTCTACCTGCTCTCCCAATGGGCTTGAATTCTTTTCTTTCTTTTGAATAGAGTCTGAAGAAAGTCGTCAGACCTAATATTCTTGCAGGCCTTTTAGCTGGAATAGCATGGCCCATGGGACCATTGGCAGAGTTAGCCTGGGGCTCTAGGAGTGTGAGGGCGGGACAGGGCTGGAGGGCTCTAGGAACACCCAGCCAACCAGCATCACCACCAGTTCTGTGCTCCTTCATGAATCATCAGTGATCTTTGTAAAATTCCTGTTTTTCAACTGCTTTATAGGGAAAGAAAGTTCTAGGTTTTCACTGCCCATTCTGTAGAAAGTTGTGCAGTTGAATCTCACTGAGGTCAGATATGCCTGGAGCTGTTGGTAGAAATAATGTGGGGGTCTTTGGCTGAAGGCTGTACTTGTCTGCCTTGGAAAAAATCCTTTAGAAAGAAAAGGCTTTCTTCCAGAATCATTCTGGAAGATAGTTAAGGCTCTTGAATTCCCTAGGTGGTCTTTTGTTGTGGTGTCCCTAATGTCCCCATGTTAGATTAGAGCAGCCCATGTTTGTCAGGTGATCCTGGACAAGACCTTCCCTTGCTGTGCCCTGGTAGGGGGCTCACTGGAGGTGCTATCCAGCTCTGGCTCAGCTGACCCTGTCCTCCATATCATGTAGATTGCCTTGAGAGCTGAATTTCTTGTCACTTGTATCAGTTTCCTATAAGGAAAATGCAAAAGGCAGGTAGTTCGGTAGCTGGTACTATATAGGGATCTGGAAATATTTGTGGCCTGAATGGTGTTCATGACCTCAGCTTTTCTCTTTGGAGAATACAGTGTAGATGACACTGCTGTGTTCAGCTTTTCCTCATGAATTTCAGCCTGTACCTCTCCAGGCTGGCTGTGGGCCCTGTGTGCCTCTCCTGTTTGTCCCCCTGTGTTTTTCTGGGGTGTGGCCCTGGTCTGCCCACAGTATTCCCATGGGGACACTCAGTCAGGTCTGCTCCAGTCACCACCTCCATTGAATAAATACACAGCAGGAAGTTAACTGAGTCACTATCAGCTTCTCCCTAGGGACCAAACCAGTTTCCCCAGTGAGGTGGTGCTCTTAAAAGTGGGTGAGGCTATCTGGCTGGTTTTGTGGCTCCTGTCTAGCTGGAAGGTGCCTCACTTGTCAGGAATGCCACCCCTCCTGTCCAGAGGTTGCTGGGTGTCTCCCTGCAGAGTCCCAGACAGCCTGGAGTTTAGGAAGAAACAACAGGAGGTGCGCATTGTCACCTCTCCTGTCCTTTCCTTTGAAATGGCAGAAAGAGCTTTGTTTTCCAAATTCTGTGGGAGCTGCCCTTGACCTCTCTGTCCCTGGGGATCTGTGAGGCAGAGCCATTTGGGGTTTAAGTCAGACCCTTCCCCTTTGGATTGGTCATGAGATTAATCACAAAGCTCTTCTTGCGGGGCTCCTTGGTGTTGGGGGCGCAATCCCAAGGCAGACAAAGAAGTGATGTGAGTAAAAGGGCCATGGAGGGACCTCAGGAAGAGGTGGTTTGTTCTCCCCACAAATCCCCTAGACCCTTGGGGTTCTTGGCCTGACTTGCCTAATGGGCTTCTGCCTGGCTGTTCTGGTCCCGGGCAAGGCCTCTCTGCTTTGGGGTTGTTTTGTTACTTTTTATTTTTTCTTCTTTGTGGTAATGAGGATTGAACCCAGACCTTCATACATGCTGGGCAGGTACTCTACCACTGAGTTATACCCTCCCCCTTTTTTGGGGGGGCTGGGTACCGGGAATCAAACTTGGGTCCTTGCGCTTGGGAGGCAGGCGGCAGAACCACTGAGCCAAATTCCCGGCACCCTCCCTTTTTTGAGACAGGGTCTTACTAAATTGCCCAGGCTGGCTTTGAATTTCCAGTCCTCCTACCTCAGCTGTCTTCGTAGCTGGAATTACAGGCATGCATCCCCGTACCCAGCTTTATTACTCTTGAGATTATCTTTGTTTCTTTTTGTGTCCTACTTAACTGAGATGGATGGAATTTTTATGCTCACACACAAAGCTTGCTGTAGTCATTCATGAGGAACTTTTGGAGCTTTTAAAAATTAAATTTAAAAAAATTTAAATTTTTTTCCCCTCTACCATCTTCTGTACTTGTGAGAACTGTGTCTGTGGGTTTGGCTTGAACACTGGATTCCTTTCATATCTGCTGTCCTCCCTGATCACTTCCAAACAAACTCCCACCCACAGCGTGCTGCTGGCAGTGTCTGTCATTTGGAGAGCACTTTTACTTTTTAAAGTGTTGGGCTTTGGGGTGACATGGGAGAGGTGACAAAGAAAAACAGGAGCCACAAGGGGTGCCTGGAGGTGAAGCAAGTCAGAGAAAGGAAGGGGAAAGCAGTGTCAGCTATCAAGCAAGGGCTTTAGAAGAGGCCTGGCCTCAGCCTCGGAGAGTTCCCCTCTAGTTGCTCAGCGTCCCTCTCTGTGTCCCGATCCCCAGCTGATCCCCAGCTAAGCATGTGGGACTGACGGGTAGATCAGACCTGGAAGCCCAGGCCCCAGATCGTCTTCACCAGTAGCTGTTATGGGGCCACTGTGGAGTCCTTTGGTGCCCCAGGCCTGTCTCTGAAGAGTGCAGGAAGCTGCACATCACGCCTGGTTCAGACCCAGGGTCTTCCTACCACTATCCAGGGCCACCACCTTGGCCCTCACTGAGCATCTCCACAGGGGCCACAACCTCCAGCTGCCAGGTCACTGTGCTGTGGGAGGGGTGTCAGTCCCAGATCCCTGGGCTGGGCACTTCTGTGGTCGAGTGGGTTTCAGAAATGCTCCAGCGTAAGTTGAGTGAGTGCCGGATGGTGAGGTTCTTTGAGGCCCCTGGCAGCCCCAAGTTGGGCTCTCCTTTCCTCCACTCATGTGACCCCAGAACCTGCTGCCAACTTCTGAGAACGCTGGCCTTATGGAACACTCGGGGGAAATCCTACCATGGGTTTGTCTACAACCTTGCTGGTGGTGTCCCTGTGTTTTTTATGGTGCTGAGAATTGAGCCCACAGCTTTGCATATGCTAGGCAAATGCTCTATCACTGAACTAAGCTGCAGCCCCTGCCTGTTAGCAGTGGTGCCTTTATGTTTCACTGGTTTTTCTACCTTTACTCATCCTAGCCAGTTAGACTCCTTTTGGGGGTAGGATGAGGGGTGGTCCTCATGTTCTCCCGCAGCCCCTCCCGAAGATCACAACTCTTGCCTCCACTCCTATGGGCTTCCCCAGCCCTGAGCCCTTGGGCTCTGCTGTTGAACACTGCGCCCCCCCCCATTCATGCTGACTTTGGGGTTGCTTTTAGGGAAGATGGTGAATTGGAAGAAGGTGAACTGGAAGATGATGGGGTGGAGGAGACCCAGGACACCCCAGGAGGGCAGGAGAGAAGCCGGAAAGAAAAGGGGGAGAAGCACCATAGTGACTCGGATGAGGAAAAGTCTCACAGGAGGCTGAAGCGGAAACGGAAGAAAGAGCGGGAGAAGGAGAAGAGGAGGTCGAAGAAGAGGAGGAAATCCAAACACAAAGTAGGTCCAGGAAGGTTCGCATTGCTGCACTGCTGGCATGTGGCCTGCCTGGTCCACCTGGAGGGCACTTAGTACTGTTTTACCTGCCCCTGTGTGGATAAAGACTTTAACGAGCTGGCAGCTTACGCTCCACTGCCACTGAGTGCCCCTAGGTGAGGCATTTCAGGTGGAGCACAGCATCCTTGGGGTATAGTCCAGCAGTGCTTTTCCTGGGGCTGACTGCAGGGTGGCCGCCTGCAGCAGACACTTACCACCTCCCCTGTCATTGCAGCGCCATGCTTCTTCCAGCGATGACTTCTCCGACTTCTCAGATGACTCGGATTTCAGCCCTAGTGAGAAGGGGCACCGCAAGTACCGGGAGTACAGCCCCCCTTATGCTCCGGTGAGTGACTGCTCGGGACCCTGTCGCCAGGGGGCCAGGAGTACTACAAGGCCTATGTGCTGAGTTCTTCCCACATTTGGGATTTCTCGCTTGAGCTTTACATAGAATTTGATCCTGTGATATTAGGCATTGTTATCATCCCTGTCTTATAGGTGAGGAAACTGGGGTTTAGAAGATTTCAACAGGGTTGCCAGCTCTAAAGTGGAGGAGCCAGGATTTGAACCCTTACAGATGTCTATCAGGCTTGCTCTTGAGCCTCCTCTGGGCTTTGTCTGCCCCGTGGCCTTGGCAGGATTCAGAATGTCTCACTAGTCTAGGTCACAGCTGAATGCTTTCTGCTGTCCATAATTGATTTTTGTGGCAAGAGAAGGAAATGGTCAGAGGAATAAATTATCTTAAAGAGTTTTTTTTTCTTTAAGGTTTTATAGTCAGAGGTCAAATATTCCATTACATCTCTGTGTTTAAGCATCCGTTTACATTATTTGTTTGGTTTGGGTACACTTCCCCCCCCCAGAAAAACCTATAAGAAAAGAAATCCACTAGCCAAGACTCGGGAGGCTGAGGCAGGAAGCTCACTGCAAGTTTGAGGCCAGCCTGGGCTACATAGTGAGTTCAAGGCCAGCCTGGGTTACAGAACGAGAGACCCTGGAGAGACAGAGACAGACACAGAGGATCACATGGATTTTTAAATTCTGATAAATTTAAAAGTTGGTGGCTGTTTTTCAAGCTGGAGGGACAGAATTGTCCTGTGATTCAGTGACGTCTGTCATAAGGGGTGATTTGTGTCAGATGCTGTAGTTGAGATTGATCTGCTGTTGAAGCTCAGGCCTCGAACCTGAGGGAAAACAGGAAAGGAGGGTGTGACTTGCTTTGATTGTCAGTGAGAGTTTGAGGTGATTTGAGATCTGCAAGAGTACTCTGTGTGTGTCTGTGTCTGTGTCTGGATGTCTATTTTGAGGGGTTTTTTTAATAATGAATGTGGATATTTTAAAATTAATGGATTTTGTCAGGCGTAGTGGCACACACCTGTAATCCCAGGACTCAGAAAGCTGAGGCAAGAGGATCACTGTGTATTTGAGCCCAACCTGGGCCACATAGTAAGTTCCAGCCTGAAACACATAGTAAGACCTTATCTCAAAAAAACAACAAAAAGGGCTGGACATTTAGCTCAGTGGTTCTGTTGCCTGCCTCCCAAGCACAAGGTCCTGAGTTCAATCCCCAGTACCAAAAAAACCCAAAAACAACAAAATTAAATTAATAGACTTTTGGGTCAGGGATTTAGCTCAGTGGTTCCACTGCCTACCTCAAAAGCGTAAGGTCCTGAGTTTGATCCCCAGTACAAAAAAAACAAAAAGACTTTTTTTGTTGTTGCTGGTACTGGGGATCGAACTCAGGCACCACTGAGCTAAATCCCCAACCCCTTAGACTTTTTTGTTTTGTTTTTTGTTTTTTGGGTTTATTTTGGTACTGGGGATCGAGCTCCAGCCCTTACGCTTTCAAGGCAGGCAGCGGAACCATTGAGCTAAATACCCAGGCCCTAGACTTTATTTTTTAGAGCAGTTTTAGGTTTCTAGGAAACTGAACAGGCCAGGTGTGGGTGGCACATGCCTATAATCCTGGCACTCAGGAGACTGAGGCAGGAGGATGACCTCAAATTTGTGGCCAGCTTGGGCTGTTCAAGACCAGCCTCAACTATACAGCGAAACCCTGTCTCAAAAAAACCAAAAAGAAAAAGGAAACTGAACAGTTCATATGGTTATCCACTCACACCACAGCTTCCCAACCAACATAAACACTTGTGCTAGCATGGTGCATGGTTATAATGCGGAACCCTGTGTTAATACAGTAGTGTTCATTGGTGTCCGTCTTAGGTTACAGTTCTGGAGCCCTTTGGGTTTTATTTTTTATTTTTCTGGTACCAGGGATGGAACTCAGGTCCTTCCGCTTGCACAGCAGGTGGTGAAACCACTGAGCTAAATCCCTGGACAGCCCTTTGGGTTTTGGGGGGTTTTTTTTGGTACCGGGGATCGAACTTGGGTCTTTGCGCTTGCGCAGCAGGTGGCAAAACCACTGAGCTAAATCCCCGGCCCCCCTTTGGGTTTTGTTCTAGCATCACACAGTAGTCTCACTGCCTATGCTCATTCTTGCCTTCTTCCCCCTGCCAACCACTGATCTTTTCTGCAGTTTTGCCTTTTGTGGAATGCCATAGTTGGAACATTACAGTCTGTAATATTTTGAAATTGGCTTCTTTCCCTTAGCAATATTCTTTTTTTTTTTTTTTTGTACAGGGGATCAAACTCAGGACCTTGTGCTTTCAAGGCAGGTGCAGCAGCACTGAGCTAAACCCTCAGCCCTATATTTTTTTGTTTTTTCAGATGGGGGTCACACTATGATGCCCAGTCTGGCCTTGAATTCCTAGGCACAAGTGATTTTCCTGCCTCAGCCTCCACAATAGCTGGGAGGGACTATAAGCATACACCATGGCACCCTGACTCAGCAACATGCAATTTAGGGTTTCTCTGTGTTTTTTCATTGCTCTATACCTCATTTCTTTACCCTGTTGTCTGAGTATATGACAATTAGTCTGTCCGTTTGCTTTGTGTGTGTGTATGTGTGCAGCTAAGGATCAAACCTAGGTCCTCACACCTGCTAGGCAAGTCCTGTACTACTGAGCCATACCTCCAGACCTGTCTGTTTTCTCATTAAAGGACATCTTGTTCCTTCTGTGTATACGTGTTTTCCTCTTCTCCAATACCACTTGGCACTAGCACACCTTAGAAAGCATCATCTGAAACTGCTCTTTAGTATGGCTGCCAAGCAGGACAGCGATTGAATTCTAAGGCGCTAGAGTGATGTGGAGTGCAGAGCACCCCTCCTGCCGACAGGCCCTCCCAAATGTGGTTGCCCTGCATCACTGCGAAATGCCCCTTCTCTTGCCCTTGGTCCATCGTTGAGGGGTTGAAGGACCTGTGTTTCTGCTTCCTTTTGAGCGGCTGCCCTTTGTGAGGGGCCAACACATTGCTGTTCCAGCCCTTCAGGGGAGAGCCCAGCCCCCGAGTCATTTGGGGGAATGATGGGGACATTGGTCCTCCTTGACCCCAGGCATGATGCCTGCTGTCTGCTGATGCCCCCTCCACTCTCCCGGGACCCAGTCCCACCAGCAGTATCCCCCATCACACACCACGTCCCTGCCCAAGAAGTCCTACTCCAAGATGGACAGCAAGGGCTACAGCATGTATGAAGACTACGAGAACGAGCAGTATGGAGAATATGAGGGGGACGAGGAGGAGGACATGGGCAAGGACGACTATGATGACTTCACCAAAGAACTGAACCAGTACCGCCGCTCCAAGGAGGGTAGCAGCCGAAGCCGAGGTGAGCCCCCAGCAGCATCTCCTCCATGGCGGAGGCCAGGCAGAGGCAAGCAGTGCCTGGCGCCTGGCCCTTCAGAGGCTTAGGACTGGGAGGAGACACGGGGTCATTTAGGAAGCGGAGAAGTGTGCCAAGAGAAGGGCTGAAGTGAGCCACCCAGGGGTGTTGGGAAGATCCCTGGCCAGGCTGAGGTTGAGATGGCGCCAGGCTGGTGGGAGGCAGGGAAAAGGCCAGGCTGCCTGAAGTGTGGTTTTTAAAGTTTATCAACTGTCCACTCCCTTCCTCGTCCTTGGCTCACATCACCTGACCAGTTATGGGTTCGGTGCAGGCCACTGCCACGCCTCTGAACCTTGAACCTGTACCCTGCAGGCTTCAGAGGATGGAGGAGTGCTAAGCAACAGAGACTGAAGTCCAGTCTCATTTCTTGGAACTGTCTCCTTTCAGAGAGAATGCCTGGCCCAGGGGCCTTTTGAAATCTTTTTTGTTTGTTTTTATTTTTTGAGACAATCTCCCTATGTAGTTCATGCTGGCCTCAAACTCTCAGTGATCCTCCTGCCTCAGCCTTCCAAGCCCTGGGATTACAGACATGGGTCACCATACCCCCTGAAATCTTCTAATTGAGAGTTTTCTCAGACTTGTGACCCCTGCCTGTTGTTAGTGGCAGTACACTTGTCTTTCCCTGGACACCTCCCTTTGAGCAGGCCCTGTATTTTGAAGAGCCCCTAGACCAGTGTTGTCAGGTGGAATGAGACACCAGCCACCATGTCATGATACGTGTTCAGAGTCACATTGACAAAATGAGAGCAAACAGAGTAAATAAATTCTTTTCTCTTTTTTTTTTTTTTTTTTGGTACCTGGAATTGAATGCTTGTGAAACAGGAGGCAGAATCACTGAGCTAAACCCCTGGCCCCCAGAGTAAATAAATTTTAACAACTGATTTCTTTTTCTTTTTTTTTTTTTTTGGTACCAGGGATCGAACTCGGGACCTTGCGCTTGTGAGGCAGGCGGCAAAACCACTGAGCTAAATCCCCAGCCCGTAACAACTGATTTCATTAACTGATACATTCTTAATCTTATTTCAATATGAAATCAGAATAGACAAGTGAAAAATTTTTTTGCGGGGGGAGTACCGGAATTGAACTCAGGACCTTGCACTTGTGAGGCAGGTGGCAGAACCTCAGAGCTAAATCCCCAGCCCAAGTGAAATAATTTATAGTCTCTTTTTTCATAAGTCTTTGAGATCTGGTGTGCATTTTGTACTCACATCTCTTAGGTTGGAGCAGCCATGCGTCAGGTGCTTGTTAGGCGTGTGGCTAGTGGCTGCTGTTGGGCACCTCAGCCCTGAGGGGACAGGTACCTTGAAACAGGGCAAGGGAAGTAGTAACTGCGTGTCCAGAATGCTGAGAGGGCAGGGGACCAGGCTCCCTGAGGTGCAGAGGAGGTAGTGATTGCTGTGGGGGCGAAAGAGAAAAGGGGGCTGCCTCTTTCTCGCTGGTGGGGCTGCTCCCCACAAGGCTCACCATACAAATCCCCACACAGGCAGCCGAGGCCGGGGCAGGGGATATAGAGGCCGAGGAAGCCGTGGAGGATCTCGAGGCCGAGGCATGGGCAGGGGCAGCCGAGGCCGAGGCCGAGGCTCTGTGGGAGGAGACCACCCAGAGGACGAGGAGGACTTCTACGAGGAGGAGATGGAGGTGAGGTTTCCTGCTCCTCCCAGGAGACAGGAGTGCAACAGTCTGGGCTGTAAGCCCCTTGGACGGGCATGCTGAAGGAAAGGAGGCCTTGGATGTCAGATTCCTGTGCATAAAATGTTTGTTTTGGAATAGACAAAATCTTCACATGGTGTGAAATAGAAAAGGTACTGAATGGTAGGCTGTGAAAAAGTCCCGTCCCTACAGACAATTTCCTGAATACGCCCTAGAGTTGTTCCATGCCTTTCCAGTCAGGCAACTGTGTGTTCCTTCTGCCCCCAAGGAAGACACATACATGTAGGTGCTGACCTCTACTCCCTTCCCTGCCAGGGCACGATGAGCTGGCCACTGTGTGCAGCGCTGCTGTGCTGACCCTGCCAAGGCCCACCGTTCAGGGACCACTTTCAGTCCCTAGGGTTGATCTCCTCCCTCCAGGTGGGGAGAGAGCACACAGTTATGGGCAGTGTTCCTTGTGTCCTCTATAACACTTCCCTGCCCTGTCCTCCCCGGAATTCCAGTATGGAGAAAGTGAGGAGCCAATGGGAGACGACGACTACGATGAATACTCCAAGGAGCTGAATCAGTACCGCCGATCTAAGGACGGCCGAGGCCGAGGTGGGCAGTGGCCCTGAGGTGGTGTGCTGGGCTCAGGACCCAGGAAGATTAGCAGGCTAATGCCCTCTCTTCCCTCTGCAGGGTTAAGTCGAGGCCGTGGCCGGGGTTCCCGGGGCCGAGGGAAAGGGATGGGCCGGGGTCGTGGCCGAGGTGGCAGCCGAGGAGGGATGAACAAGGGTGGAATGAACGATGACGAAGACTTCTACGACGATGACATGGGTGTAAGTCAACTCCTAGTTCTGATCTGATGATTTTGGCCAAGGTTCCTTCTGGGAATTACTGTGGTTTTTTCGTTTTTTCTTTAACCAGTCATTCTGAGGTTTATTCTGTCCCCCTCTCCCGTCAGCCTGTCCCCAGGGGGCTGATGGGTATGTATCATCTCTTGTGGGGGCTGCTCTGCTGATGGGACCTTCTTGTGTTTATGGGACCACATCTTTCACAGCATATGCAGCCTTCTCAGTGAGTCTGTGCTTTGGAAGCTTCTAGTGACTCAGCTAGTTAGCCTGTGACGGCCTCACAGGAAGGCTGTGACCCATCCTCCGGGAGGTGGTTGTGTTCCTGTCAGGTGTGTGGAACTCAGGACCTCCATCTCCCACAGCTCCAGCCCCTTTCCTGTGCCAGCACCAGTGCTTGGCACCTAGCCCCAGCTGCATGCTGCCTCGATGTTGGTTGTGCCCTTGTGAATGCTCATCTCCTTTTCCTGTTGGTTACTCACTCGTCCAGAGCCTGTCCCCACCTTTCCGTTCCATTCCCCTCCACACCACACTGTATTCCTTACAGGATGGCGGTGGGGGCAGCTACCGGAGGAATGACCATGACAAGCCCCACCAGCAGTCTGACAAGAAGGGCAAAGTCATCTGCAAGTACTTTGTGGAAGGGCGGTGCACGTGGGTAAGGAGCTGGGCAGCCACCCTCAGGACAAGTGGCCTCCGAGGATTGCATGTTTGGGGTCTCCCTGACTATAGGGAGGGTGGGAGTGATTGTGTGGAGGTCTGTGGTCCTGGGGATACTCATCGGTGCTCAGAGACGCCTGGGCGGGCCTGGAGCAGACTCAGTTCCATTCTCAAAGTGAGGAAGACCAAGAGCAAGACAACATGATTATTTTGGTTTTAGAAATTCTGTTTGTTTGTTTGCTTTTTGGTACCAGGGATCAAACTCAGGACATTGCACTTGGGAAGCAGGTGTCGGAACCACTGAGCTAAATCCCTGGCCCTTAGAGACTTTTTTTAAAAACAAATTTCTGATCTAATCCTTATGGCCTCAAATGCATTTACCAGTTGATGCTTAAGCAAAGATCTGTTGTATCCTGCTTAAATTACTGAACTTGAAGGGTTGGGAGGGAATCATTAACCCATCCAGACAGAAGTGGCGGGTGGGAGTCAGATTGACCATGGACTTGAAGAGTTCAGTGCCAGGAGATGGACCAGTGACCACAGAGTTCTGCAGGAACCAAGTGTAGTGAGTTTGTCCAGCAAACATGTGCTTGGGGACTGCTACTCCCATGCATCTGACTAGGGAAGAAGTTGGTGTAGTATTTCAAATGAGTACAATGTATGCAAAATAGTCTATATTATAGTCACAGTTCGTTTTATTTTTTTTAATTTATTTTTTTTGGTACCGGGGATTGAACTCGGGACCTGGCGCTTGCGAGGCAGGCAGGGGAACCACTGAGCTAAATCCCTGGCCCCTCATATTCTTATTAGAAATTTGAAATATATATATAAACAGAAAAATAGGTGGCCATCCCAAAGGGTAAAGGGAAGCAGATAGAGAGGATGTTCCATCTTTAGTGATAGGAAGTGATTCCTGTGAGGGATGGGGAAGACAGCCATGATTCCACTGAGGTGTGGTGTTGTGTTGCTTGGATTGTTCAACTGCACATGAAGGAAAACTCAGCCTCACTGGCTTCAGCACGGTGACCTTGGTCTCAGAGCAAGGATTCTGTAGGCCAGTGGGCAGCTCAAGGCAATGCAGTGGTCAGTGGCGCTGGGTTGCCTGGGCTCCTCCTACCCTCTGCTGTCTTTAAGCATGTGGCTTTGGTCCTTGTGTTTGCACAGTGACTGCAGTGCCTCTGGACATCACATCCAAGCACAAGGAGGAAGAAAAATGAGTGAAGGAATTTTTTTATTCAGGATTTTTACTCTTAGCGAGCTTTTGCCTGTATCTCATTGCCTGTTTCTGCAAAGATGGCTGGGAAATGGGGTATTTTTAGCTAGGTACATTGTTTCCGAGACAAAATAAGGGTTCTGTTAGGAAGGAAGAAGTGTGGGACTGGATTGCAGGTAAGTGACAAGCCCTAGTTGCCACACAGCAAACAGTAAAAAACTGAGTAGTGAGCGGGAGGGGAAAGAAGAGAGGGAAATAGAGAAGAGTTAGAAAGAGGTAGCCAAGGCAGTGGCATGAGAAGGGAGGAGGGTGTGTTAGGAGACAAGAGGGCCCAAGAGGAGGGCACATGGGCAGGCTCTGGGGTAGCCCTGCTAGGGCAGAAGCTTCAATGTTGGGAAACCTGCCTTGCCTGAGCTGCCCTTTCCAGGGGCCTTGGTTCTGTCCTCACCCCCTCTGCACACCAGCCATGACGGCACTGCTTCCCTTTGCAGACAGGCCAGAGTAAGGGCTTGTGGCACCACCACCTTACCCTTTCTGTGCTTCTCTTCCAGGGAGACCACTGTAATTTTAGCCATGACATCGAACTGCCAAAGAAGCGAGAGCTGTGCAAGTTCTACATCACGGGGTTCTGCGCCCGAGCAGAGCACTGCCCCTACATGCACGATATCCTTTGCCACTGGCGGCAGCTGCTGCTGCTCCTGTGGGTGAAGCAGGGGTCTTGGTCCCTTCGGCTCTCTGCTTCTCTCCACTTTGTTCACCCTCATCTCTGCCCCATGCTGGCCCTGCTGTTCCTGCTCTGCAGATGAGTAAGCGGAGACGCGCCTGCGTGCTTGTGTTCTCTCAGAGCATGTGTACTGTGCTGTCCTCTACACAGCCTGAATTTTTTCCAACTGGCTTTGTGATCTTGGGCAAGTCTCTTAACATCCCCACTCCACCAAGGGTCTGAGGACACAGCCTCAAGGCCAGTTTGGTAGGGGAGAAATTGTTCTGGAATAGGAGTTTTGCAAGCCATGCTCCACCTCAGGTCTGCTGCCAACCCAGCAAGTCATCTCACCTTGGGCTTCACTCTGCTCGGGTAGGACCTGTGAGGTGAACCATTTGCCTTAACTCCTTGTGAACGTGACTTTCCGTGTAAGCTGTACCACACCACTGGGAACTGCATCAATGGGGATGACTGCATGTTCTCACATGATCCTCTAACCGAGGAGACGCGAGAGCTCCTGGATAAGGTAGGGGTGCAGGGGCACACTCAGAGGAACCAGGAAGCCTGCCTTCCATGGCCTTGGTGCTGCTACTATCCTCATTTGTTGGCTTACGGATCCACATGGAATAAAGGGGGGAGGAGCAGATAACCCTTCCAGGTGATGCTTTCCCCTCATTGTTCACAGAAGTTGGAGGAGACTGGCTAGTTTTTGAAACAAGGAGGACTGACCATCAGTCTATCAGCTAGCTTTGAGAATCTCCGTCAGGACTGTCCTGTTGGGTAGCAGGGCCACAGGGAGAAGGAGCCCTGGGCGAGCAAAAGTTAAGAGAACCTCCACTCCTCCCTAGGAGTGCTTGTTCTTGCCATTTCCTTTAAGAGTCTTATCACCCTAGAGGTGTGTAATCAGTAAATACCTAGCATCCAGTCATTCTCCTTTAGGACAAGTAATGGTGGCCCCTTTTCTGATTGGGAGGGCTAAGTGATCGCTAACTGAATGCTGCCCCCTGCTGGAGGTTTAGAGTTTTGCTTCAATACGAACAACTCAGCCACACAGTTCATTTTAATATTTCTAGTACCACATTTTTAATTTTTTTAAATCTCTATTCATTTTTTTGTTTTTGTTTTGAGACAAGGTCTATGTAGTCCAGGCTGACCTTGAACTCACAGTAGTCTTCCTGCCTCAGCCTCCCAGAAGTTGGGGTTACAGGCATGCACCACCATAGCCAGCCCTTCCACCAATTTTTTATTTAATCCAGAATACCAATTTTTTTCCAATAAAACTTTATTTTCAAAAAAAACAGGAGTTTGACTTGACCCACAGTCAATAGTTGGCCAACCCCTGCTCTACCCATATATATATGGTTTTTTCGGTTGTGGGGTTTTTGGGGGTACATTTTAGGTATACATGGGCTAGGGATGTAGCTCAGCAGTACAGTGCCTACCTGGCAAGCATGGGGTCCTGAGTTCAATTACTGGTACTAAAAAAGAAAAAAAAATTCAGCTATACATAATCATACCCCTCATAGGGAATTTGTATCTGTACATGATATATCTTACTTTTCTATTTTCTTTTTTTTCTTGTCCTTTCCTTTGTTTCTCCTCCCCCCTTCACATTTGAACATTTTCTTCCCATTTCCAGTATCTTTTACACATTCTGGGTTTTATTTGCACTTTCTGTTTCTCACACCAGAAAAACAGACATTTAAACATGAGTCCATCCGTTTAACTAGAAATGTCTCCAGCTTATTCTTCTTTATGGCAGAGTAGTCCCGCACTTAACTGTCCTCCACTTTGCACAGCACTGCTCCAGAGGCCCTTGTATAAACAAAGTGGCATATTTCAGCTCCCCACATGCCTGTTAAGGTGTCACTGTTGTCCCCTATCTAAAGTGCATGGGTTTAAAGACTGGCAAACTAGGGAAAAGCATGCTGGGATTGGGAGGTCAGAAAGTAACATGTCCACCACCCCTCTTGGAAGGGCCTCAATGAACCCCAGGAAAGCCTGGGGCTCCCCTGGCAGCCTGTTGATAGTCCAAGCTCTGGTGCCACTCAGAACGAGGCCCCAGCCACCCTCTCCTAAAATGTCTGCCTTTGTGTGTGAGGCAGTGGCGGCATTGTGGGTTGAACCCCAAGTTTTCACACTGAGCCATGTCTTCAGCCTTTGTTTTTCTGTTGACAAGGTTTCAGTAAGTTTTCCATGCTGGGGGTCAAACTTGTAATCCTCCTGCCCCAGCCACCCAAGAGTGCTGGGATCACAGATGTGCTCATGTACACCCGGCTTCATGTCTCTGCTTTTTTGCCCTCCCTACCTTACCCCTTTCAGTTTTATCTTCCCACTTGGTGACATTTTTATCTGTCTAGAATGTGAGTTTCCAGCCATCCAGTCTGTGTTTGGAAATTTGCCTGTGTTGGGGTTTGGTGATGAGGCTTACTTTGGGAGCAAATGGCAAGAATAAGAAGTACGCTGGAGAATTAGCTCAGTGGCACCACACCTCCCTTGCAAGTGCAAGGTTTTGAGTTTGATTCCCCCCACCCCCCCGCCAAAAAGTAGCAAGAAGTTCCTCCACCCAGATTCATCTGCCAGTGGTACTTTGTTTCATTTCCTTTATTAGGCACACTGGCTTTAGTGTAGGGGAGTGTGTGTGTGTGTGTGTGTACTGTCTTTTTTCCTTGAACATTTCAGAGTAAGGTATGTACACCTTGGTTCTTTACATTCAATACTTCAATTACATGTAGGTTTGTTTTTTTAGTTTTTCTCTCTCTCTTTTTTTTTCGTACTGGGAATTGAACTTGGGACCTTGCGCTTGTGAGGCAGGCGGCAGCACCACTGAACTAAATCTTGGCCCTCGTTTTTCTTTTTTGAGACAGGACTTTGTTATTAGTTCAGGCTGACCTTGAACTCACTGTGTAGCCGAGGCTGGCCTCAAACTTTCAGCAGTTCTCCTGCCTCAGCCTCCCAAAGTGCTAGGATTACAGTCATGCACCACCATGCCTGGCTGTAGTTTTTTTATAGTCAGGTTTTTGGTTTTTCTATTTTCTTTCATTCCCAATGATGGGACTTAGGATGTTGCACTTGCCAGGCAGGCATGGCGCCACTGAGCTACATCCCTGGCCCTATAGTCAGGTTTTGAGGTATAGTTGGAATCTAGAAAACTCCTGTTTAGTCTACAGTTCTGTGACTTGACCAGCATATAGAGTCATTGCCACCACCACACAGTGCAGATATGGAAAAAGAGCATCATATGAAGCCTTTGTGTGTATAGGGCAGGGTGGCTTCTTAGATTGGACATAATGGATTTGAGATTCACCCAGTTGTTCAGGTTCATTGCTGTTGGTTGCTGTGCGGATGGGTGAGTTTCTTAGCCAAGCATTAGTTGAAGGGCATTTGTGTTGTTTCCGCTTGGTGACAACACCTTAAGAGTTTGTGACCAACTAACTGCCTTGAGCTCACGTGCCAGAGCTGGGTCCACACCCTTTGCATCTGTGACCTTTGCATCTGTGACTTGCATTGTGCAAGTGTGACCTTTGTTAGGGTTGAGAAGGTGACTTTGGCTTTACGAAACCAATCAGGTCACTGATTATCAGTCCTAGGGAGAGGGTTCGGGACTCAGTGCCGTGCTGTTGGCTGTGTCCCATGAGATGTGCCTGGGTCCCTGGCCCTGCAGTGAGGAGGCCAGGAAGCGCCTGGGGACCGATGTTCCCTGCCACAACATCTGCGCTGGAAGGACTAGTCAGCAGTTCGGGTTCAGTCCTGTTTATTTTCTGCTAAGTATTTTACATGTCTGTGCACTGGGCTCAAATTCGGTCAGCACTGGGTTCAGGGTGCAGGGAGCCCATCTGTGTCTTGAGGAGTGGTGTCCCTCCCAGATATCCCTCGGGCTGTGCAGGCAGGGAGGCCTTGTTCTTGTTCTGCCCAGCACAGATGGGTGGCAGAAGTGTGGACCATAGGACCTGGCTGAGACACTTATGTGCAGAGTGCAGGCAGGCCCCAAGGAGGAGGCCGACTCCCGGGCATTGGGGTGTCCTTGTGGAGCATCTCAGTCCAGTCAGTTGGCTAAGGATCCCTCAGGTGCCTCCTGGCTGTGACCCCTGTGTTTGAACTGCCAAGTGGTTGTCTCAGTCCCTAGAGGTGACAGTCAGAAGGAGAAGGGGTTGGTGGCCGGGTTTTCACATCTGTTCAGTGGTAGAGAGAAGTGCAGTGTGTGTTCTATGGCCTAGAAGGAGCAAACCTAGTCTGGAGGCATGAGGAAGCCTCTGAGGGCTGATTTCAGGATGACTCTGAAAATAAGAGCAGTGCCAGGTGTTGGGGGGTGTCTTAGAGGAGGGGAACAGGCATGGAGGTAGAGGCCAGGGAGGCAAGGGGAGCATGGGCCATCTGGACCCAGGCCATGGAGGGGCTTGGGGGAGGAGAGGGCAAAAAGAAAACCAAGGCGTGGTGGTGCATGCCTGTAATCCCAACATTCGAGAGGCTGAAGCAGAAGGATCCAAGAGTTTGAGGCCAGCCTGGGCTACATAGTGAGACTCTATCTCAAACAAAGGAAACCAAGGTGAAGTGTATTCCTATTTAATGAGGTATAACCATATTAACTTTCACCTTTGATTTGAAGGCATTGAGGCTGTGTTGAAAGGATTTAGCAGGGCAGCGGCATGACCATGTTTGTCACCTTGAATTTTGCTCTGTGGTGTGCAGAGGATGTTGGGGCATTCAAGGGAGGCCAGAGCCACCACCAGGACAGCAGACAGCCTGTGCAGGGTGGTCAAGCCTGCAGTGTTCCCTTCTGTACAGGGTCCCAGTTGCTGAGATGTTGTGTCCAGTGTATACTTCTCTTTTTTGGTACCAGGAATCAAACTCAGGACCTTACACTTGTGAGGCAGGCGCCAGAACCACTGAGCTAAATCCCTGGCCCTTGTGTCCAGTGTAGATGTAGGTGTTTTCTGGTATCTCATTGGGCATCTCCCCTGTGTCAGGTCTGTGCTGGAGGCTGGGAATGCAGCAGGAAAGGTTATAATCCCTGCCCTCCCTGGGGTGGACAGGATGGGCAAGCCAGAAATCGATAAGGGAACGGCCAAGTGCCTGGTCTTCTCAGGTGTGGGCAGTGTTTTGAGGCAGCTCATAGTGCCCAGGAGATGGGGGCCGATGCTCTCCATTGACATTGAGACCCCAACAAGTGGACCAGAAGCCAGGCACCCAAGAATGGAGGGGAGAATAGAAGTGTGAGGCAAAGTCGATGCTGAACTGAGTCCTTCAGGGAGACCTTGGCCATCCTTGTGCCTGAGACAGGGCTGGGTGCTCAGGTTTGAGGGGCCATTCGCAGAAGGAGATGGAGCTACTGGGAGCTTCCCAGCTGTACTCTCATGCTGAGCCATGGTTAGCAGTTGGGGTTACCTGCAGGCAAAATGGGAGGCCTTCAGAAGACAGGTAGATACATCTGCCAGAAAAGAAATGGGGCTGGGGCATAAGCTGAGGGCAGAATGCTTGCCTCTTATCCATGAGGCCCTGGGTTCCATCTCCCGCAGTGCGACAAAAAAGGAAGGCAAGGACAGACTGACAGATGGTATAATGCAATGAATCTTGCTAAGTGAAAGGAGCCTGTCAGAAAAGACACATAACATGGTTCTGCTTAGAGGTTTCCTGAATAGAAGAGCAGGTGGCTGGTTGCCAGGGGCTGGGGGACAGGGAGTGACTGTCTAATATACAAGTCTCCTTGGGGGTGTTGAAAACACTCTACAACTAGAAGAGTTGGTGGCTGCCCAACACTGTAAGTGTGTTAAATGCCCTGAATTGTTCGCTGTAAAGCAGTTAAATGCTACGTGTGATGTGAGGTGTATTTTGCCACAGGACAGAAATGGCTCCTCCTGCCTGCTGGTCCCAGATTGCAGTCACAGAGTGACATACGATGAGGATTTTTGTTTGTTTTGGGTGGGGTTTTTTTGAATTTTTGAGATGGGGTCTCTATAAGTAGTTAAGGCTGGTCCTGAACTCACTATGTAGACCAAACTGGCCTCAAACTTTCAGCGATCCTTTTGCTGCAGCCTCCCAAGTGCTGAGATTACAGGCATGGTTCACTATGCCCAGCAGTTTTTTAAACAGTGCCTCATGCAGATCAGGCTGGCCTCAAACTTGCCTCAGCCTTAGTGATGAGGATTTTTGTTACACAACACATTTGTGGGGCTTAGAATATAGTTTCGTGGTAGAGCAGTTTTGTAGTTGCATGAGGGCCTTAGTTCATCCCTGGCACTACAAGAAAAAAAAAAAAGGAATCACGGTTATTGGCTCTGTGCTGTAAGGACTTCACCATGCTTGTGTTTTAGAATTTTCCTTAAAAAATTGAGCACTCCTTTGTTCCCTTTGTTACCCACAGATGTTGGCAGATGATGCAGAAGCAGGTGCTGAAGACGAGAAGGAAGTTGAGGAACTGAAGAAGCAGGGCATCAACCCCCTGCCCAAACCACCCCCTGGTGTGGGCCTCCTGCCCACCCCCCCTCGGCCCCCTGGGCCCCAGGCCCCCACCTCTCCCAATGGCAGGCCCATGCAGGGTGGCCCCCCGCCGCCACCCCCTCCTCCACCCCCTCCTGCTGGGCCCCCTCAAATGCCCATGCCCATGCACGAGCCGCTGTCCCCACAGCAGCTGCAGCAGCAGCAGGACATGTACAACAAGAAGATCCCCTCCCTGTTCGAGATCGTTGTGCGGCCCACAGGACAGCTGGCTGAGAAGTTGGGTGTGAGGTGAGCGCTCCAGCCCCTTGGGGCCACAGGCCCAGGCCCCAGTGGGTTCCTGCCTCTCTGAAGCTGTCGGAGTTCCTTTCTGGGACCCATGACCCTGAGCTCCGAGCCTTTGATTTGTTGGCGCTCCCACATCCCCTGGGGGTGAGTGCCACCACTCCTCCTCAGCAGCAGCTTTCACAGCCACTATTTCCTCTTCTAGGTTCCCTGGACCTGGTGGACCCCCAGGGCCAATGGGTCCTGGGCCCAACATGGGACCCCCTGGGCCAATGGGGGCCCCCATGCACCCCGACATGCATCCAGACATGCACCCAGACATGCACCCTGACATGCATCCGGACATGCACCCTGATATGCCAATGGGCCCTGGCATGAATCCTGGCCCCCCTGTGGGTCCCAGTGGCCCCTCCATGATGCCCTATGGTCCTGGAGACTCCCCACATTCTGGAATGATGCCCCCCATCCCACCAGCCCAGAACTTCTATGAAAATTTCTACCAGCAGCAGGAGGGCATGGAGATGGAGCCAGGCCTCATTGGGGATGCAGGTACGTGGGGCTTCTGCTGGGCATCCTGGGTGCTGGGTTTAACAGGATGGAATGGGGTGAAGGTGCGATTTTTCTTCCTCGGTCCAAGTCTCTTTGAAGGCGGGACTTCATCTCCCATCTTTGTCCCATTTGATGGTTGAATGTTTCTTGTGACATCAGACTCATTATTTGTTATGTTCATTGTCAACATGGTTTATTTATTTTACTTATTTCTTTGCAGTGTTGTGAATGGAGCACAGGGCCTCACATGCTAGGCAAGCACTGTACACTGAGCTGCACCATGGCCCTTTATTTTATTTTGAGACAGGCTTTCACTAAATTGCCCAGGCTGGCCTCAAACTTGCAATCCTCCTGCCTTAGTCTCCTAAGTATCTGGGAGTAATAGTCATGTCAACCATGCCTGGCATTTTATTTAGTTTTTAAGAATTTACTCAGTGTGCCTGGAATGGGGAGCAAGACCCTGTCAGAAATAAGTACATTGGCCGAAGCTCCTCTTTTAAGACAGTTCTAGGCTTAGAGTTCCCAATGTGGACCTGTGACTGCTTGTCCCATCCTTAGGGCCAGCCATGTTCCTTCCTTCCTTTCCTTTTGTGTTGGTGAAATCCTCAGTGCCAGGGTCAGCAAGGGCTAGATGACATGCACAGCAGTGGGGCCCCTCAGACCAGAGGAGATGTGCTTGCAGCCCCCAGGTCTCAGGCAAGCAGCCAGGCCTGGCCTCGGCTGTGTTTTGGTGGAGGTTGGCTGATAACACAGGTTTAGCACTGACCATTGTTAGACACAGAGTAGGCCGGCCAAGGTGGGTCACCTGTAGTCCCAGCACTCAAGAGGCTGAAGCAAGAAGACTGCTGAGTTCAAGGCTAGCCTGGGCTACATAGTTCAAGGCCATCCTGAACTACATAGAGACCCTGTCTCAAAAAAAAAAAAATCCCTTGGGCCAGGGATTTAGTTCAGTGGCACCACACCTGCCTCGCAAGCGCAAGGTCCTGAGTTCGATCCCTGGTACTGCAAAAAAACAACAAAACAAAAAAAATCTCATAATTCATCTGCAGGAATATGATGCAGCCTTAAAAATAAATACTAAAGAAGACACAGAGTAATGTGGGGAGGGACATCTGGACATGCAGGGCCCTGGTAGGGATAGTAGGCAAAGGCGTGCCTCTCTGGGAAGTGAGATAGGGCCAGATGGCCGCGGAGGAGGCTGTGGGGCTGAGCTCTGTGTCCTGACAGCAGCTTGTCAGAAGGGCCCAGCCTGCAGAGGAAGGGTGGGGGGTCCCCACAAAAGGACTGTGTGGCTGTGGCATCAGTGGCCCTGTGTCTGTGAGGAGTGCTGGCAGTAGACAAGGTCCATGGGTGGCGTTGGCACCGAGAGGCCCTTCCTGACCCGAACCCTTGGTTCTTCCCTGCCACAGAGGACTACGGGCACTACGAAGAGCTCCCGGGGCAGCCAGGGGAGCCCCTCTTCCCTGAGCACCCTCTGGAGCCAGACAGCTTCTCTGAGGGAGGGCCCCCAGGCCGGCCAAAGCCGGGCACCGGTGTCCCCGACTTCCTGCCCTCCACCCAGAGGGCTCTGTACCTGAGGATCCAGCAGAAGCAGCAGGAGGAGGAAGAGAGAGCAAGGAGGCTGGCAGAGAGCAGCAAGCAGGACCGGGAGAATGAGGAAGGCATGTGTCTCCCAGGGCAGGGCTTGGGGACTTTCAGTTGGGTTTCCTGTCAGGTAGGAGCCTGCACCCAGGGAGAACCCCGGTTCAGATTCACAAGATCAGGCCAGGCTACTGCATGTCCCTGAGAAAACTAGAGGCTAGGGCTACCCTTCTATGTCTTGGGGCTCAGGAGAGACCCGATCCCATCAAGCAGGGTGGTGGGCTGGTCCCTGGTGGAGACAGTGGTCGGCAGGATGGGGTGCCCACACCTCCCAAAGGAGCCTTGGGGCTTGCACCTGTCCCTGGAGTGTGCTCTGCAGGAGCCGAGAGGGAAGGGCTACACACTGAAGTCACTGTAGTCACAGGGCCAGGTGGTCGGCCTGGTGGCAGCCATCTCAAGAAATGTGCAAGCAGCATCCGGGAGCTAAGGGTAGCGGCCACGGGGTGCCCTGACAGGAGCCTGGGAACCAGTGGGGAGGAGGGGTGGACAAGGCCTGCCCTCCCTGGGTGGCTCAGGTTCTTCTGCCAGGATTTTGCTTCTGCCCTTTCCAGTGGTCGTTCGGCCTGCCCTTCCTGGGGTCACTGGAACTTTGTAATGAACCTGAGGACAAATGCCTGAGAGCCAGTGATGGTCAGCAGCCATCAGGACCTCCCAGCCCAAATGGTGGGAGGAGACAGTGGAGCCCTGGCTGGGTGTCCTGGCTCCCTCTTGGCTGGCTGTCTGATGGGCATCAATGACACAACCTCCTGGGGTGGCTGATGAGCTTTAAATATGACAGACCACCTAGGTGCCGGCACACTGGAAAGCTCCACAGCCAGCACCCCCAGCCTGCCAGGCCCTGTGCTGGGCACCCAGGCCTCCTGGGTCTCCTCCCATCCCCCACAGAGATGTCTTGAGAGTGGAGACCTCGAGGTTCTGTGTACCAAGAGCAGAGCAGCCATTGGCCCCATGGGTTTCCTGGGGATCCAGAGGGCTGGTGGCAGATATGGTGAGCACTCACCCCTCCCTGTTCCCCTGCTCTTTCTCAGGTGATACCGGAAACTGGTACTCAAGTGACGAGGACGAAGGTGGGAGCAGTGTCACCTCCATCCTCAAGACCCTGAGGCAGCAGACATCCAGCCGACCCCCGGCTTCAGTTGGGGAGCTGAGCAGCAGTGGGCTGGGGGATCCCCGCCTCCAGAAGGTGCACGCTACTGGAGGCCGACTGGCTGACCCCCGCCTCAGCCGGGACCCCAGACTCTCCCGCCATGCTGAGGCTTCCAGCGGGTCCGGCCCAGGAGACACTGGGCCCTCTGACCCCCGGCTGGCTCGCTCCCTGCCCGCCTCAAAGCCTGAGGGTAGCCTTCATTCCAGCCCTGCTGGCCCCAGCAGCTCCAAGGGCTCCGGCCCTCCCTCTCAGGAAGAAGAGGAGGGGGAGCGGGCTCTGCGGGAGAAGGCTGTGAACATTCCCCTGGACCCCCTGCCAGGGCACCCACTGCGGGACCCAAGGTCACAGCTGCAGCAGTTCAGCCACATCAAGAAGGATGTGACCCTGAGCAAGCCCAGCTTTGCCCGCACTGTGCTCTGGAATCCCGAGGACCTGATCCCTCTGCCCGTCCCCAAGCAGGACATGGTGCCCCCTGTACCTGCCGCCCTGCAGTCCATGCCTGCCTTGGACCCCAGGCTGCACCGTTCCAGCCCTGCAGGGCCCCCCAGCGCCCGCCAGCGCCCTGGCACCTCCACAGACCCCAGCACCTCCAGCTCTAACCTGCCTGACTTTGAACTCCTCTCTCGCATCCTCAAGACTGTTAATGTTCCTGGCCCCTCTGCAGCCCCCAGCCCAAGTGACAAGCCCAGTGACCCCAGGGTGCGGAAGGCCCCTACCGACCCTCGACTGCAGAAACCAGCAGACTCGGTAGCCTCCTCTCGTGCTGCCAAACCCAGCCCTCCCGAAGGATCCTCTCCAGCCTCCAGCCCCAATGGAGGGTCCTCCCCACCAGCCACAGCTCCCTACGACCCCCGAGTGCTGGCAGCTGGAGGCCTCGGCCAGGGCAGTGGCAGTGGGCAGAGCAGTGTGCTGAGTGGCATCAGCCTCTATGACCCGAGGACTCCCAACGCAGGTGGCAAAGCCGGGGAGCTGGGTGCTGATGCAGCTGCCCAGCCCAAGGGCCCTGAGGGTAACGGCAAGAGTGCCGTCTCTAAGACCAAGGAGCCCCCCTTCGTCCGCAAGTCTGCATTGGAGCAGCCAGAAGCAGGGAAAGCTGTTGCAGATGGGGGGACAGCCCCAGCCACAGACAGATACAACAGCTACAACCGACCCCGGTCCAAGGCTGCTGCAGCCTCCGCCGCTGCCACAGTCACTACACCTGCGGAGGGCGCCCCGCCCCAGCCCGGGGTACACAACCTGCCAGTGCCTGCACTCTTTGGGACTGCGAAGCCGGCGCCCAAGACAGGCTCGGGAAGCCCGTTTGCTGGCAACAGCCCGGCCCAAGAGGGCGAGCAGGATGCAGGGTCCCTGAAAGATGTTTTTAAAGGCTTCGACCCCACGGCCTCCCCCTTTTGCCAGTAGTGTTCGGAGCCAGCGCTCCTGCCACCCCACCTTTCCAAGGTGATATTTAAGGGCACCAGTCAGAGTTGGGATTGGGGCGATAGGGAAGGGGCTGGATGTTCTTTTTTTTTTTTACTTCTGTTTTCCTTGTTTTTATTTTTGTGTTTTTCCCCCAAATAGTATTTCCTTTGAGACATAAATTGTACATAACCATCTTGGGTGGGTTCTGGTCAGTGCTGCAGGGCTCCTGGGCTTCCCAGAGTGCCAGGCCTGAGCCACAGTGGGTGCTCTGGAGCCTGGGCCTCCCTGGATGCAGGTGGGGGGCGCCTTCCAGGCAAAGCTTGGGGCTCCCCTCAGGACAAAGGCAACAGTAAGTGTCTGAGAAGGCTCTGAAGGTCACACATCCTGCACTGCTAGGCAAGGAGGGAATGGAACCCAGTCCTAGCATGGCCTGTGAGGAAGCCCTGGCTCTTTAGTGTGAAGCCCATGCCGGCTGCTTCAGAAGGGAAAAATTAAAGGTGTCAAAGGAGGTGGCCAAGAATCCTCAGTGGCACCCTGGTGGCCATTCCCTGGGCCCACTCTTGTCTCTGAATTACCACTTACTTGAGCCCCTCTGTCCCTATCCTCAGCCCCCAGTTGCACCCCAAACCAGGGCCCTCCAGTCTGCACAGGAGCCTGGGGGTGAAGGTGGCCCTAGGGGCAGTGGCCCCTAATGAGCTCCCCAAGGACCTAGGATCGTGTTTTCTGTCAGTATTACCTGTCCTGCCCCGCATGCCAGGGTCTGCCCTGGCCCTCAGAAGCCACAGTACCCTGTGTGCCTGCACTGCCAACCTCCACCCTGGCAACAGCTCAAGGATCCGTGGCTGGCCATTCACAGGCTCCCCTTGGGAGCCCCAGGTGGCCCTTTGACACAGTGTTTGCTCTCTCTGCTTTCTTTGCTCCTCAACCCGTATTGTAGGGCAGGAGGTACTCACTGGTGTTTGGTTTTCCTCCCTGGCCAACAGGTGTCAGGTTTTAGGGTTTGTATGCACTTCCTGGAAAGGGGATAGGGTAGGAGACTAGCTGGTGCAGGGAGGGGGCCAGGACCCCATTGGGGACAGAAGACTGAAGGTGTGCTGATTCGGGACGGAGCAGAGATGACTGCAGCAGCCTCTTTCCCCTACTTGCACCCCGCCTGAGGACTGGCCTTGTCACAGGGCCCCAGGGGAGGCCCAGCCTATGAGCATGGCTGGGCTGCTGGGGAGCCCAGGGAACCACTGGCCCCAGAAGGTCTGGTCGCTTGGGGGTCTTTCTGCCTTTTTCTCCTGACCCCACTGCCTGTGTTGCCATGCTGAAGACCCCGTCTTGTCTGTTCACAGTGAGATCTGGTTATCCAGTTGAGGGATCCCCTCGCTGTACCGCAGCAGAATCCCCACAAGGCTCCTGGGTCACCCACACCCCAGAGAGAAGAAGCAACTCAGTAATTTGGGGGCAGAAGCCAGGGTGGAAGCGGCTGGGCTGAGTGCCCTGCAAGCCCAGCCAGATAGCACCATGGGGTCAGCAGGCTGAGGTCGGGTTGGTCTGGCAGTCTTCCTGCCTTTTGTGGTGTTTTCTAAAGCAATCATCAGTCAGATTTGTCTTCAGCCACAGACCTGGCCTTGAAGCAGAGGGCTAAGGCCCATGTTAGGTGTGAGATAAGGTAGGACACAGTGTGGCAGTGTTTTGGGTTTGGCTTTTTTTCCCCCTCTGAGAACTTTCTTTTGTAAAAGAAAAAGTAAATACTTTTTTAAAACTGAAATCTGTGGATGAAATAGAAGCTGAAATGGCTCCTCTTGGAATATTCAGCATCAGAACCTCATGGGACTATGAATTCATCCAGAATTCCCTTTTGCCATCAGGCCAAGCTTTTAAAGAAAAATTGTTCTCTAACCAGGATTGTAACAAAAGTGTAAATACTATTTCAGAGTTGAAAGTCGATGGTGCAAATATGTATATAATGTACTGTATTTTTACAATGATTGTCGCATGACTACCCTACCCCCTTTTGTACTCCATATCTGTCTTCCAGAAACCTTTCCTGCCTTTTCTCCTGTGTCTCTTAATCCGATAATTGTATTACTGCCATTAAAGGATGCAGTTATTTTATTATTATTTTTTTTTTTTTTGGTACCGGGGATCGAACTCGGGTCCTTGCGCTTGCGCAGCAGGCGGTAAAACCACTGAGCTAAATTCCCGGCCCATGGATGCAGTTATTTTAAACAGCCTGCCGGTCTCTGCTGCCCAGACCTCCCCTGCCCCAGAGTGACAGTGACAGCCTCTGTGGACTCCGCTGCTTTATTCCCTGTGGTGCCCTTGTGCCTGAGCTCTGCCACTGAGCGCCCCGGCCCTCACTGGGCAGCGGCCGTTTGGGGCTCTCCAGTGAGCTGGAGTGAGGAGTGGGGATTTGTCTGGCGCCCAGGTGCATGTGTCTGAGCACAGATGGTCCCCACGGGTGATAGCTTGACTTAGGGTACTTTGACTTTATGATGGGGCAAAACCGGTCTTGTTGAGTGGCAACTGTACTTCTGAATTTGAGTTTTAAACTTTGATCTTTCCCCTGGCCAGCTATGTGTGATCTGATCACTCGGGATGCTGAGAGGTGGCAGTGAGCTGCAGCTCCCAGTCAGCCACATGAGGTGCTGAATGCTTTGTTGTAGAATACTCCTTGGCTAGGTGTGGTGGTGCACAACTGTAATCCCAGCACTTGGGAGGCTGAGGCAGGAGGATTGCTGCAAGTCCAAGGCCACCCTGCACTACACAGTGAGACCCTGTCTCGAAAGGCTGGGGGTGTAGCTAAGTGCAAAGGCCCAGAGTTCAGTCAGTACTGGAAATAAATGGGCCTGGTGTTAGATGATGCTCAGCAGCAGCAGCTGTAAGCTAGTGCAGTGTTCGGAGCATGTTAAAGCAGGGCTGTCCAGCTCCATGCATTTTTCACTAGAGCAAGTTATGCAGAGGTAGCACTGACCTGAGTTGAGTAGAAGCTGGGGGCGGGGGGACAGAAGTTTTGCCCCACTGTGGAAGGTGGCGTGTCCAGAGCTGGTGGAGGAGATGGCCTTGCTACATTGCCCAGGCTGACCTTAAACCTGTAGTCCTCCTGCCTCAGCCTCTTGAGCAGCTGGGATTACAAGTGTGCACCACCACATGTGGCTTGTATTTACCTCACCTCTTTTGTTTTCCCACATGGGGCTGGGGATGGAGCCTGGAGCCCAGGGCCCGACCCATGCTAGCCCGAGCTCAACCACTGGACCCCACCCAGGCTCTTAGGCCAGTCTGTGTCTATTAAGACCTTCAACTGACTGAGGCTCACCCACATTCTGGAGGGCAGTCTTCTCACAAAACCTGGTTTAGATGTCAATCTCATCAAAACACCTCACAGAACTACCTAGAATGATGTTTGGCCAGATAGCAGGCACAGCCAGATTAACACAAAGTTAACCGTCACAACAACCACTAAAGTAAGGACCACCCCACTCATCCAGTTCCTGAATTCAGTTGCCCACAGCCATCAACAGGCCAGAGAGGCATCCTGGGAGCAAGCATTAAAGTAGGCGCCCTCTCGGAGGATCCCCCCTTCACCTCACCTCACCCCTGCCTCAGGCATGAGGCCAGCAAAAGCAGGGTGAGACTCAGAATGGTGATTACTCACTTCAAGATACACAAGAGTTTAACCCCAGCAAGGGGACACGCCTGTCACCTCAGCAGGGCACACAGAAGGCAGAGGACTTGTCTGTCTGCTGGTGGAGATGAGGTGGCAGAGACAGACCAGTGGTGCCCTTGCATAATCGCAGCACTCTGGGAGGCCAAGGCGACAGCATTGTAATTTGAAGCCCAGCCTGGACAACTTAGTGACTCAGTGAGACCCCCCTGCCTCAAAATAAAGTATTGGGGGAAAAAAAAGTGTTGGGGATTTAGCTCAGTGGGAAAGCCCCATCTCAATACCCAGTGCTGCCCCCCTCCAAAAAAAAGCTGGGTGTAGCTCAGTGGCAGAGCGATGCTAAAGCAGGGTTCCCTGCCCTGTGGTGCAAGCTTGCTGCACCCATCATCACGAGATACTGACTGGGTGGCTTCAACTTGCCCGGGGTGGACACACTGCAGTCCTTGACACCCACCCTGCCCCATCCCACCATGTCCCGGGTCACTCAATTAAAAGGCAAAAGCAAAGGGGAAAAAAAAAGCAAAAGCTTCTTTCAAATTCTTCTGACAAATACTGTTCTATTTTATTTATTTATTTTTTGGTACCGGGGATCGAACTTGGGACCTTGCGCTTGTGAGTACTGTTTTAAACTATGTTGGCTTTAGATACTTTATCAGCTTCCCATTCCCTGTCCCTACCTTTTAGCTGCCTTTTTTTTTTTTTTTTTTCTGAGACAGGATCTCAGTAAGTGGCTAAATTGCCCAGGCTGGGTTTGAACTTGTGATCTTCCTGCCTCTGCCTCCCAGAGTGCTGGGATTACAGGCCTGTGCCGTCACACCTGGGTTGTAGCGGCTTTTGTAACATTGAATAATGTGATACCTCATCCTCTGTCCCAATTTCTCATCAGCACAGACCACTGGAATGTTCCACAGTAGTGCTGGTGTCCTCTGTCCTTGCATTCCCATACAATCACCACAGCCGTGTGTAGCTACTAAGCACCTGAACTGGGGCAGGTACAACATAGGCACTATTTATTTATTTATTTATTTATTTATTTATTTATTTATCGGTACCGGATCGAACTCAGGACCTTGTGCTTGCCAGGCAGGCGCTGTGCCACTGAGTTAAATCCCCAGCCTGGCTTTTTATTTTTGATGATGTTTAAACAGCCACATAGACCTAGTGGCTGCGGTATTGGAGGGCACAGCTGGCGACCACAGCTGTAGCCCTTTACCTCCCTCGAGTTACAAGGGTAGCCACAGGCCCATCATCTCCCCCACCTCCCACCTCCCAGTGACTGCAATCACTGTTGGTCTTGGCAACTGCAACCATTTCCTACCCTAACAGATCACCACAAATTTGGTGGTTTAAAACAATGTGTAGGTGGAGTGTTTTTTTGTTATTTTGTTTTGCAGCCAGGCGTGGTGGCACACCCCTGTAATCCCAGCATTCTGGGAGGCTGAGCAGGATGATCACAAATTCAAGCCCTGCCTGAACAATTTAGCAATTTAGTTAGAGTCTGTCTCAAAGTAAAAAATAAAAGTAAAAAAAGTGCAAAGACCTTGGGTTCAATTTCCAGTATCAGGAAGGATGGGAGGGAGAATAGAGTTGATTTTTGTTTTTGTGGTACTGGCCTTTTAAATTTTTATTTATTTATTTATTTTGGTATGGGGGATTGAACTCAGGACCTTGTGCCTGTGAGGCAGGCATGGTGCCACTGAGCTAAATCCCTCGCCCTTTTTTAAATTTTGTTCTTCTGCTGGGTTTCCAGGATCTTGATTATTATATGTCTAGGTGTAGATTTTTTTGGATCATGGCTAGTTGGAGTTCTATATGGCTCACTTATCTGTATGTCAAATTCCTTTCCTCTGTTTGGGAAGTTTTCTGTCATTAATTCTGTGAACAGTTTTTTTAATGTCATTTGTACTTTCTCCTGCTTTTTCATGGACTCCTATCAGTCTTACGTTATTCTCCTTTGCATCATCTAGCAGCTGCTGGATTGATTTCTCATGGTCCCTTACTATTTTTAAGAAATCTCTCTTTTCATGGTCACTAACTGCAATCTTGTCTTCTATATCTCATATTCTGTCTTCACACTGCCTCAATCTGCTGTGAATACTTTCAATGGAGTTTTTAATCTGAATATCTGTTTGAATCTGTTTCATGAATTCCATTTCTTTCCTATGTTGGACATTCATGGTTTCCATTTCTTTCCTAAAGTGGGTATTCATGGCTTCCATTACGGTCCTGAGCTCATCTTTTTTTTTTTTTTTTTTGGTACCAGGGCTAGAACTCGGGTCCTTGCACTTAAAGGGCAGGCAGTGGACCCACTGAGCTAAATCCGAAGCCCGATCGTCTATTTTTTATTTGTTTCATTCTAGAGCCTCTAATCATGTCTTTCATTCTGCTCCATCTCTGTAGTTATCTGGGAAATTATTTGTGTTTTGAATTTTTCTAGAGCCTCATTCATCTGTTTTGTTACTTCCTGTGCTATCAGTTCCAGGTGTCCAGGTGGTTGATTATCAGATTTTTCCACCTTGTTTCCCCCAGAATTTGCCTTTGTTGAGCTGGAAGTCTGGGTTTGTGCTTTGCTTAAGTGTCTTCTCATTTCTGATTTTGTTGTTGGTGGTGTTTTTTGGTTAATTCCTGGGCTGATGCTTCTATATTGTTTATTGTGAGCATCTTTATTACTTGTGTTTAGAGCCCTTCTGGAGTGATTGCTTCTCAGAGATATCTTCCAGTTACAGCTGGTCTTGTTAGGCTTTGAGTCTCTAATGACTTAGGCAATCAACCTCGGTGGTCCAGTGTACCTTTATTGCAGAGTTTCTTCACTTTCCCAGTAGGCTTCAATTTTCATTGAGGAGCCTCAGAGAGGCCCTCTTTCTGTTGTTCACTTCTGCTCTATCTTCTGGAGCTCGTAACCATGGCCTTTATCGGTGCCTCTGCAGTGCGGATTCAGATATTGCTTCTCCCATGCATCGAGCTCTGGGGTGGGGGGAGTGGGGGGAGCGTGGCTGGCATCTGTTTGATGGAGGTTCCAGGTGGGGGGGTCTAATTTTAAATTTTTATTTATTTATTTTTAAAAATTTGTTTTTTGGTACTGGGAATCAAACTCAGGTCCTTGTGCTTGCAGGGCAGGGGGCAGAACCACTGAGCTAAACCCCCGGCCCTTAATTTTTTATTTTGAAGCAAGGTCTCACTAAGTCACTAACTTGCCCAAGCTGGGCTCAAACTTGTAATCCTCCTGCCTCAGCTTTCCCGAGTGCAGGACTGCAAGTGCACAGCACCTCACCCAGCTAGACAGTGTCACAGTAACATATGACAGTGGTCTCCCTTCTCAGCAACCATCTAGACAACCAAGGATGCTTCTGACCCCAGTCCAGGCTAAAGTAGGATGACTGTGCTCTCAGTCAAGAGAATTGTGGCCCCTGAGGAGACTTAAACAGCAGAAAGCTGGATGTGCCACAGGTGTGTTCTGCCAGTCTGCGCTAAATCCACATTTAACACAGGAGAGAAGACAATCAGCAATAACTCAGTTGAGGTCACCTAGATATATCTGGAATGGGCTGGGGATCTCCCTTTCCCCCTCCACCTTGGGGGCTTTGCACTGAACTACATCCCCAGCCCTATTTATTTTTATATTTTGAGACAGGATCTTTTTAAGGTTCTAAGTTTGCCAAGGCTGGGCTTAAACTTATGATCCTCCTGCCTCAGCCTCCCAAGTGTGTGTCATCATGACAGGCTCTGCATGCATTGCCTTTCACTGAACCACAATGCAAGTATCATCATGTTCCCCATTTCACAGATGAACAAATCGAGACACAGAGAGACTAAGTAACCCGGTTAGATCAAGAGCTGGTCAGTGGCAAAGCAAGGCTCCAGAGTGTGGCTCCAGACTAGTCAGACTGGACACTCAGAGACTGTCTCTGGGGCACAGAATCACCTTACTGGGGGCAAGATGCCTTCTCCCAGGGCAGCGTGGTCAGAGGAATCCAGAGTGGTCCTTTTCCTGTTCACTCAACACCTGATCAGGAAAACAGAAACTGCTCTTGGTACTTAGACCAGAAGGAATGTAGTGCAGGGGATTGGACCCCAAAGGACTGGAAGGTTTGGAGAGGCAAGAGAGGGATGATCAGGTTACCAAAGATTAGTGGGTCCAGGAAGCCGCTACAGTCTGCTGGGCCAAGGGAACCAGAGGAAAATGTGAAATGTAGTCTGCAGGCTTCTCGCCTCAGCTGCAGAGGAAGCTCAGGAGGACAGAGGACTGTCCTGGCTGTGTCCAGGTAACTGCACTCTTTGAGAGCCCCTGGGCCCTCTCCCTTATAGGGAACCCAGCCCTCATCCTGCACAGTCCTTAGCATTTCAGCCCAGTCTAGAGGAGAGTCCCTGTGATGAGGACATGGTGCATCTTTTGGGGCCAGAGAAAGGTGAAGAATCAACCCCAAACCAGGAAGCCCTGCTTAGTCCAGTGTACCTCCCTTTCTCTGTAGGAAACCCCAGGAGTTGGAGGAGCAGGACCTGAGGCCTTTCCTACAAGGTGCCTCTTCCTCAGCTCTTTCTCTCCCTCACAGGCCTCTTCATTCAGCCGTCAGCCTGCCACTTCTCCTACATCTCCTAGGTAAGCTGTTGTCTTCCCGAAAGCTGTGTTAAGACAAATAGCCAGTGCCCCAAGCCAGCTGTCATGTAAATTCAAACCCCATGGGCCATGTCTTGTGAGAGGAAGTGCAGTGGTGCCCTCTGATCCCCAGTTTATTACCTGCTGTCCACAGTTTATTACCTGCTGTCAACCACACAGAGTCCAAAAATATTAAATGGAGGGTTGGGGATTTAGCTCAGTGGCACCACACCTGCCTCACAAGCCAAAGGTCCTGAGTTTGATCCCCAGTACCAGAAAAAAAAATTTTTAATGGAAAATTCCAGAAATAATTCCTAAATGGCATGTCATACAATGGCATATCATCCTGAAGAAATCTCATGCTGTCCTGGTTCTGTCCCACCAGGGACAAGGAATCATCCATTTGTGCAATGTATCCATACCATAAATGCTACCTGCCCATTCATTACCCGCAAGCTTGAGAGCCAACTCCATTGACACCGTTGTATCTAGAGTTTGGCGTTTCCTCTCTCCAGTTTCAGGCATGCACTGGGGATCTTGGGCCATATCCCAGTGATGAGGGGCCACTGTATCTCTTGAAATAAATGTGTCATTTTGATGATTGTGACAATTGGTTGCACTGTCACCATGCTATAAGTGACATCAATGGGTGAATTAAGATGCCTCTCAGATTCCAAGATGAGACCAGCCCTTAGCTCTGCTCCTGTCTACAAGATGAAAACGTAAAGGGCCAGCAAGGTGTGGTGGTGCATGTCTGCAATCCCAGCACTCTGGGAAGCTGAAGCAGGAGGATTGCACATTCCAACCTAGCCTTGAAAACCTAGCGGGATCCTGTCTCAAAATTAAAAATAAAAAATGGGCTGAAGTCCTGAACAGAACCCATGAATCACCTGGAAACACATATAAATAATATGTAATATACAAAAAATATGCAATATACAATAAATTCTGCTGGAGGGGCTGAGGTATACTTCTGGGTTTAATCCCCAGTAACACACACACACACAAAGGTAAAGGGCAAAGGCTCAGCTAGAGTTATTATTTAACAAATGAATCAAGTATCATCTTCTTTAACTTATTTAAAACATCCTGGGCCAGGGATTTAGCTCAGTGGTTTTGCCGCCTGCTGCACAAGCGCAAGGACCCGAGTTTGATCCCGGGTACCAAAAAAAAAAAAAAAGACACAAATAAAACATCCAGAACCTCCTCCCAGGGTTTGGAGAATTCCGTGGAACTCACAGCGATCCTCCTGCCTCGGCTTCCCAGATGCTGGGATTACAGGTGTGTGCCACCATGCTTGACTGGGAGAAGTTTTTTTAAGGGGTTTTATGTCCATGCTTCCTGTGGAGAGGAAAGCATACTGAAAAGGGATGTTAGATAAACTGCCATGAGCCTGAGAGCCGTAGCCCTAGCAAGACTACCCACATTGTGGGTCCAGTTACGAGCAGGAATCCTATACAGGCGCCCACTTATGCTGTGGGGGTCAGGGGTCATCAGTGACTCTACTTACCTGCGCCCGGAGCAGCACTGGCCTCGGGCTTTCTGAAGAGGAGCCTCCGATCTCCCGGGGTTCACAGGAGTAGCTTCCTTCTCTCGGTGCTCCTTGCCCTCAGTTCAGGCGGGGCTGGCTTGGCCTGGAAGGGTGATCCAGTCCTCTCCGCCACCTTGCTGCAGTGGAGGTGCAAGGATCCCGGAAGGGCCCTTTCATTCTGCCTTTAACTGGCCTGCAGGAGCCCCTCCTTTCCAACACGTAAGGAGCATTCGGTCTCCACGGCAGACACGGGGTCCCCCGGCCGGAGCTGGCAGGACTGTGTCCCATCCAGTTGGACAGCCGGCGTGTGTATGCTCCGGACTCATAAGGTACCGTAAGAGCCTTGTGGCCTCTGGGTTAATTACCGCATCAGAGAGAGAGAAGGGCCCCATATGGCGTCTCTAATGGACTCGTAGTTAGCCTCGTTTGGGCTGAGGGCTGTTGCCAATAAACGGAGCCAAGACTCGGAAGTCTCTTGGCAAAGTTCTTTTTTTCTTTTGGCGTTTTGAGGCAAGATCTCACTAGGTATTATCGAGTATAGCTGGGCATGAACTCACTGTAGCCCAGGTTGACCTCAAACTCATGGCAATCTTCCCGCTTCAGCCTCCCAAGGGGTGGGATCACAGATGTGCACCACCAAGCCCAGCACTTGGCAAAGTTTTGCCAGAGCTCACTGTAGGGTCTGGTTGGCCCTTTTCTTCCTTCCTTCCTTCCTTCCTTCCTTCCTTCCTTTCTTTCTTTCTTTCTTTCTTTCACAGAATTACATCTCTTTAATTAAGGCTTCTAGTTTACATTTGGCCACCTCTAAGCAGTTGTAACATTAGGTCGGTCAATTTCTTTTTTTCTTTCTTTTTTTTTTTTTTGGTGGTACCGAGGATTGAACTCAGGACCTTGTGCTTACAAGGCAGGTGTGGTGCCACTGAGCTAAATCCCAGGCCCCAAGGTTGATTAATTTAAATACTGTGGCTCCCTGTTGGGTAGACATGCAATCTTTACATTCAAATGTTAATGCATACAAAGGAACAAGGCATTACTCAATCAGACAGCAATAGTTGCTGTTGGGACTAATTACACATGATTAAAATTATGTCTCAGATTCATATCCACAGTACTTGGCCATCACTTAACATCTCAACCTCAATGTTATACATGTGAAACAATCACTAACAGGTAAAAATACTAAACCTGTATATTTGGTATTGCAGATACACTTCTGCATGAGCAAGCAGGGAATACACAGTGAAAATCTATAGCTTCAAAGGTCTGAAAATGATTTACAAAAATTGTTAAATAATTTTTAAAATGTTTGAAAATATGCACTTCTTGTTGTAGACTGCCACTGTATACACAAATATAAATATTCTTTCCTATGTAAACAAAAAAGGAAACATAAGGAGGTTGAAAAAGTCTGGACATTTCTCTCTCAACAAATATTAATATAATATATTAAATCTAAAAGACACTGAAAGGACTATTATATTTTAAAGAAACAATCACTGTCTCTACAGGTTTTTGGAAAATTAAAAAATTATGTAGCATGTTAATGGTTTGCTCTTTCGACCTTTCCAGAGGACTGAGGTCTCCATGCAGAGTAGGAATTTTATTCCTAAAGCCTTTGCCACCCCTTGAGTTATTTGAGAGATAAAAGAAGGCCCACTGTCACTCTGACGGGACTGAGGTAGTTTAAACCGAAGGATGATTTCTTTGTGGAGAACTTTATGTACCTTCATAGCCTTTTCTGAATGGGTAGGGAAGGCCTCAATCCAACCTGTAAAGGTATCAATCAGGACCAGTATCTGTTAAATCCCCCACATCGTAGTGTGTGGGTAATGTCTAATTGCTAGGGTCACCAGGGCCTGTAATGCTGGCCTTTTTGTTTCCCTATCAGCCTTTTGACTTCCCAAGGGGACTTTAGACATGTTCCTTTGGTGTCCCTTGCAATGAGTGACAGGGACCTGCCTGGGAAGATAGACTGTCTCTGGGAGTTGTTGAATTTTTCTTGCGCTTTATAGATTATTAGTTAGCAAGCCCAATCACCACATTTTTGTTCTTTTTTTTTTTTTTGGTACCAGGGATCAAACTTGGGACCTTGCACTTGCGAGGCAGGCAGTGGAACCACTGAGCTAAATCCCCAGCCCTACCACATTTTTTTTTTTTTTTAGATTGCTGCATAGGCATGTAGCCCCAGAAAGGCATAGAATTTGTATAAATATTTATCTTCTTGCTTTTTCTTAATATCAATGCCCAAGTAAGAGCTATGAGCTCTGCTTTTTTTTCTTTCTTTCTTTTTTTTTTTTTTTTTGGTTCTGGGGATCAAACTCCGGTCCTTGTGCTTGTTCAGCAAGCAGCAAAACCACTGAGCTAAATCCCTGGCCCTGAGCTCTGCTTTTTGAGCAGAGGGCCTTGGGGGAAGGGGTTTGGCCTCAGTGACCTCTCATGGACAGACAACTGCATAACCTGCCTTTTTATGTCCTTGGACGATGCTGTTTTCATCAGTGCAGCACACCTCCTAGGGATATCAGGGGAGCAGGTCACTGAGGTCTTGCCTGGTTGCATACATCCGGGAGATCACCTGTTCACAGAGTAGTGCCAATCTTTTTTTTTGGTACCGGGGATCAAACTTGGGACCTTTCGCTTGCGAGGCAGATGGTGGAACCACTGAGCTAAATCCCCAGCCCTATAATGCAAATCTTTACGGCAACCTCAGGAGTAGAAAAGAGCATGGCCTGGTACTCTGTTCCCCTGTCAACCACAAGTGACCTTTAGTCTCAAGAATAGCCCTGGGGAGGACCAGGGATTTAGCTCAGTGGTTCTGCTGCCTGCCTTGAAAGCACAAGGTCCCAAGTTTGATCCCCAGTACCAAAAAAAAAGAATAGCCCTGGGAGTCAGGACTTCTAGTTTTTGCCCCAAAGTTAGTTTTGTGGCTTCTTCTGTTAGCATAGCTATAGCTGCTATTGTCTCAGGCATGGTGGCCATGTAGGAGCCACTCCATCTAACTTCCTTGATGAGTGTGCCACCGGGTAGAGTTCCTGTCCCAGCCTTCCTGTTAAGATACCCAAAGCTATTCTTTTCTTTTTGAAAACAAAGAGGAAGAAGAGTTTTTTTGTTGTTTTGTTGTGGTGGTGGTGGTTGTGGTTGTTGTTGTTTTGAGACAAGGTCTTGCTTTGTAGTGCAGGCTGGCCTTGAGCTCTCTGTGTAGCCCAGGCTGGCCTCAAACTTGCCGTGATCCCCCTGCTCAGTCAGTCACTTCTGTCAATTCTAAGGGCTAAGACTCAGGACACTTGACAGCATTATAGAAAGGCTCTGTGATTAGTAGAGGATCATACCTATAGATCTGCCATCAGAAGGTGGATTGGGACAAGAGTTCAATCCCTGGTACCAAAAAAAACCCCCAAAAACAAAAAAACTCATGGTTGAACATTGACCTGTGAATTACATGTCAGAGTAGGAGTAGAGAAGCTATAACTAGGGTTCCCTCAACCCCATTTATTGCTATAGATCTAGAGGGGGGTTTTCCCAAACAGGAAGTTAAAACAGAGTAAGCCGCTGGCCCTGTAGCCAAAAGAAATTGAGGGTTCCTCAAAGGAGAGGGAAATGTCTGTGAACAGGGGTGTTGCAGGTTGTCCTGGCCCCTTTAGTCCTCTGCATTTGAGCAGGAGGGGAGGGTTGTGGCTGGCCCAGCTCTGTCTGAGAGGGAGACCATCACTCCTCCAGTGCCATGGCTCAGGGACATCAATCGCCTGACAGGCAGAGCAGGGCCCAGGTGGCGGCTTGGTACAGTCCAGTTTCCAGTGTCTGGTTTCCCTGCATTGAACTCTTTCCCTGATTGGCCCTGGGTTTTCCCCTGGGTGACTTGGATGTTCCTGAAGCACTGCCATTTCCCACAGCCATCATTTCAGCTGCAGTTTTTCTTGATTCCTTTCCTTTATATTTTCTTCCAGATCCCAATTGCTGGACCCAGAAAAGGCCATATCCAGCAATTGGGTCATAGGGGCCTGGGGCCCCTCTGAAATTTTTGTGACTTGCACCGAATGTCTGGGGCTGAGAGACTAATGTGGTTCTGTCTCATCATGCCTGACCTTCCTTGGAAGCTGGATCTAGGTTTGTATATTTACAGAAAGCTTCTATGAATGGGCTATGAAAGACAGGTGGATTTTCCTCTTAATTAGCAGGTTTCTTAATGCACCCCTTTATTCCCATGGTAAGTGCAGTTATCATTTTAGGTCTTGTGTTTAGTCCACCCTGGTATTTGAGTCCCAGTCTGGTTCTGATGAGGGACAGAACCCTCTCCAGGGTGACTCCCTTCTCTTTCTGCAGCTTACTGTTGCTCCCTACATCTCCCAGCCTCTCCTAAGATTCACCGCTTTTCATCTGAGGTACAAGTGGCCAAGAAAAATTAGGCATCTGCCCCATGAGAGTTCAAAAGCAAGGGTCAAAGTTTGAAACCCATCTGCAAACCTACTAGGATCCTCTGAGTCCCAGCCTATCTGCTCTTCGCAGTGTTACAGATCCGCAGCTGAGAAGGGAATCTGGACTCAAGTAGTTGCCTGGGAGCCCTTTTTATTTTAAGGCAGGATCTCATTAAGTTTCCTGGGCAGGGGCCAGGGATTTAGCTCAGCAGTTTCGCCGCCTGCTGCGCAAGCGCAAGGACCCGAGTTCGATCCCCGGTACCAAAAAAAAAAAAAGCTTCCTGGGCAGGCCTCGAACTCAGAATCTTCCTGCCTCAGCCTCCTGAATAGCTGGAATGAGAGGCATGTGCCACCGACTTGGGTGCACATGTGTTTTAAAGCTCTCCTGATTATTCTCCAGATGATTCACTCAGAGCCACTGATCTAGTCATCTATGTAGATGTGGCTGGCCTGTGTTAAGATCCATCTCTTTCAAAATAAAAATTAACCGCTGCCGGCCTTGAAAGCACAAGGTCCTGCGTTCAATCCCTGGTACCAAAAAAAAACAAAACTTGGAAGGCTGAGGCCAGCCTGGGCTACATAGTGAGTTCAAGTCCAGCCTGAGGGCCGGGGATTTAGCTCAGTAGTTCCACCACCTGCCTTGAAAGGGGAAGGTCCTGAGTTCGATCTCTGGTACCAAACAAACAAACAAGGCCAGCCTGAACTATATAGTGAGACCCTGTCTCAGAAAATTAAATTTAAACAAAACAAAACAAA